GGGGCGTGCAGCCCCGGCGGGGAGCGGGGTGCGGTTCGCGCGCTGGTGGAGGCTGACCGTACCCGAAGGAGCTACCTGCGTGGGCCTCAGCTAGGCAGAGCCTGCGTTCCGGCTTCCAGGACGCTGCGGGAGGGAAAAGTGGAGCTGAGGGTGCAGTCCGGCTGCGGCTGCGGGGAGGGACTCCGCGGGGACCCCGGCTCGCCGAGAGTGCGCGGGGAGGGGCGGGGAGGAGCAGCCCGAGTGCGAGCGGGGCGGAGGTCTCCCACCAGAGGGAGGGTGGGCCTGAGAGCCGTTGGCGGTCCTCACCCTGGCACGGGAGGGCCCTGGCACGGGAGGGCAGCTGATGTCTGTAAGACAATAACGCGCGCCCTGGGCACCTCGTTAAGGCGTCTTTGCAGAGATGGAGTCTGCCGGTGCATTAATTAATAGAATTAGTGCTGTTTCCAGTTTCCCCTAAGACTAAATCACATTTAGCCCAATTCCCAGAGCGGGGAGGCTCTGGCATTGCTCCTTCTGGACGGTTACGTCAGCATTCTTGTTGCAAACACTAAAAACTCTTTTTGTTTTATTGCCAAAATAACGCTCATTTTTTAATTCCAGCTACATAGATATGTGTAACATAAAAGTATAAGTTCTCCTCCCTGTCCTGCCCTGTCATAGTGCCAGGGATAACCACTTTTCACAGTCTGCCGTCTGCTTTTTATGCATTTTACACACAAATACACACGATTTTCAGAAATGCCCCACATACTGAGACCAGGTATATCGGCACACGCCTGTAATCCCAGCACTGGGGGGATGAAAACGGGGGAATCATGAATCTGAGCTGCGTGGTGAGACTCTGTGCCACACGCATAAAAAAGCTCTGCACCACCTGCGTCTTCTGCAAGTTGGTTCTTTTATTCCTCAGTACATCCCAGACACTGTCCCTTGCTGCTCACGCAGTTATAGGTCACTCTGCAATAACGGAGCAGCGATGATGTCCTCACACGGTTCCTGCATAATCCTCTTTGGACGGACACTTCATGTCTCCCGTGTTTGCGCCCTCACGCCCTGCCGCACGACCCCTGCACATGCACAGCTGTGCGCTCACCCAGGCTGCCCAAACACTTAAGCCCAGACACGGAAGCACGAGGCCTTGGGGGACATTTAAAATGCTGTCAGAGACCACCACACTGTCTCTGAAAACACTGTACAAACACCCCACTTCCATACGGAAGACTCCCTCCCAGGAGAGCTTCATAAGCAGTCCTGGGCGCATGAAAGGCCCCTCAACCAGATGCGGTGCGTGTTTCCTTACTGGTCCAGGGTCAGGCCCCTTCTCCCATGGCTATCACGTGTGTTTGTCTTCTGTAATTGTAGTTTCGCTCTGCCATCTCCTGGACACATACATGGAAGACCGTCCGCTGCACCGCCCTTTCCTTGGCGAATCCACCCAGGGCTCGGGCTACCGTCATGCTCCCAGTCCAACTAGACGGGCCCACTTGGCACACTCGGCACCCTGGCTTGGGCCGAAGTGCAAATGCTTCCTTCCTCAGAGCTGAGACTGGCAGACTGCCTCTGTGAGTCGCACAGTGAGGCTTCAGCCAAAACAAAGGAGTCTGCAAAGAGGAAGGGAAAACAGAAAGTGCGGATGAGGTCAGAAGGTTAGCAAACCTCACCACTGTAAAACGCAGAGTGGCAGTGTTGCACACAAGCTCTGTCTGACCCTCAGAAATCAAAGGATTCCCTCGGCATCTGTGCTAGTTGAGATCCTCCTGGGCGCCTCCTCCCGAGTTGTTAAGGGGTGTGTGTGTGCGTGTGTGTGCATGCGTGTGTGGGTACCCTATTTCATAGAAAGGGGAGGGAGATTAGGACACAAGGAAGGGAACCAGAGAGGGGCCTACTTTAAGGAATTGGTTCCAGAGAGCATGGAGCCTGGCACAGCCAGAGCTGGCCCTGCAGCTTGGAGAGCCGGCCGGCTGCCCGAGGCCATGTACTGCCAAGCTTCCCCGCGCCCCAGGAAGGGCTGGCTTTGTTCTCTCCAGGCCTCAACTGATGGAGAAGCCTGCCTTGCTGATTGCCCCTGATTTAAATGTTAATCTCATCTGAAGGGGGAAAAGCACGGGAACAGCCAGAGCACTGCTGGCGGTGTCCGGACCAAGTTAGCATGTGAAATCCGTCATCCCGCTGTGGGAAGCTCTTCCATCTGTATAAAACACAGAAAATTCCAAAATTATTTTTTCCTGAAGTTCTTTTTTCTCTGAAATTCATTTTTAAAAGGCAACATTATACTAGGAGAAAAAAATTTTCATTACAACTGTGAGGGAGATGACAGAGCAAGAAATTTCATTTAGAAAAATGGAGGCCAAAACTATTTTGAATAAAATAATACTCAACTGAATCCAAGCCAATATATTAAGAGAAAATTGTATTTAGAAAACATGAGTATGTAGAGTTTATCCTACAACTATAGGAATAGCTCTGCTTTAGGAAACAACCTACAATATCAACATGTCAAGAGAAAAACTGACATTTTTGTTCAAAGATATTTAAAAGGTATTTCATACCATCAGTAATAACCCTTTCTGATTTTTAAAAAAAAATCTATATAAAATCAGCTAAAAAACTACTAAAATGTACTAAAGATTTTGAAATTCTGTGTAATTTCTAATGTTTTATCCATTTCTTACTCGTTTTAAATAAACAAATGCATACACACACACTGAAGACTGAGACACCAAAGCTTTGTACCTGACCCAGCGAAGAACAAGGCAGGGACACTCGCTGGCGAATAGTACTGACCGTTTATCTCCAGTTCGACCTTCTCAACCAAGACAAAAGTGCATATTTACAGAGACAAAGGGGGCGCTGGCTGCTGGAGGTAATGCGACCTTGTAGAAAGACACTCTGGAGTCCCAAAGACGCAAGAGACTCCGCTGCAAGATTCTGTAGATGACGGGGTGCAGACCAGCACAGCCAGCCCGCCATTGCCCCAGGAACATCTCGGGTCAGGCTCCCTGGGAAGAACCTGGCAGGGGCAGCTGTAGCAGACACGTGTGGGCTGGGGCAGGGTTCCTCTTCCTCCTGGACCCTGGCTGGTCCTGCAGCCCAGTGCAGATTCAGAGCCAGGCAGTGGACTGCTGGGTTGGGCAGTGCCACCTCAGAGCCAGGTGAGTGAGCTGATGAACAGCCCCTGCCTCTCCGGCAGGTGCCAACTGCCGTCCTCTCCTGCTTTGTTGGTCTGGACGTCCAGCTCCACCGAACTGCACCGCTTCTTGTGACGCCTGAACCTGCCTCACTGTTGCCAATCACGTGCTACCACCCAGTCTGTTCGATTTGGGGACCCCACCTGCCACTCACCATCAGGGAGCCCTGTCCTTGGCTGTCCCGCAGTCCTGCTGTCAACCTGAGCCCACAGGGAGGCCTCACCTGGCTTCCCTGCTGTCCCATGTCTGCTCCCCAGTGGGCCACAGGGCCAGATCCACCTGCCTGAGCTCACCATTCCAAGCCTCCGGCCCTTTCCTGCTCTCTGCCTGGGCTGTCCCAGTCTTCCTGCTTTGCATGTTGTGGGCACCAATTTCCAAGCTGATTGTGTGCTTTCTCCTTGATGTGGCTGGTGAGCAGCACAGGCTTATCCTCTGACAGTTTGGGAACCCAAAGTCTAAAGTTGAGGGGAGCATGCTCCCTCTGCAGGCTGGGGGTGCGCGGTCTCCTTGTCCTGCCACTGCTGAGGCTCCTGCCCCCCTGACACCCCCATCCATCCCAAGGCCAGTCACGCCAGTCCTGTCCTTCTGAGGCTGCCCCTCATGGCCCCCTTGGAGGGAAAGGTGGCCCACAGGTGGTCAGGACACCACCCCCTCCCAAGTCCTTGGCCGCAGTCAAGCTGGCCCAGCCCTCTGCTCAGGAGGGAAACAGTTCCAGGTGGCAAGGGCACCAGACATGGGCATCTTCAGGCCCTGCATGCTGCCTCCTGGGTCCTCCATTGTCCCGAAATAGGGGGTCAGTCAACGAAGTTCACCTGGGGGAGGAGCGGGGAATTGAAGAAGAGAAAAAGGACAGGAGACGCGAAGAATGGAGACAAGACAGGATTCTGATCAAGTCCCGTTTATTCAGGGGAGGTGCTGGGTATATATAGGGAGTGTAGGAATGAGGAAGTCCCAGCTCTTGGGGTCAGCAGGTGTCTAGGCAACGGGGGAAGGTGCAACCCCTGGGGCATTGCACACGATTCACCGGGACTGAGCAAGGTGAGAAGGACCATAAACTTAACTCAGCAGGAGAATATAGAAACTTAAGAAAACGGCTGACACTATTATAAAATGAATACCAGTTAATGGCCTCCCACACTCCCTATAGAATCCTGGGTCCCAGAGGCACCTCCTTCGGAATGAACAAGCACTTCCCCAGCCTCCGTGCTGTCCACTCACCTCCCTGCTCTGGCACCTGTCCCAGCCCACAGCCATCTGCGCCCCTCCAGTGTTGCTTGCGGGTCACCAGCAGGACAGGTGCCCCTTGCCCTGTGAAGCAGGCCTCTGCATCATCTCTGAGCATCTGTTCTGGGACCATTCTGACCTTCAAAGATGGTGTGGGAGTCCTAAGCCCCAGAACCTCAGAATGCGGTCTTCTTTGGAGAAGGTTCTTCTAGAGGTGGTCAGGGTAGGCAGGCTCACCGGGGGAAGTGGGCCAGCACACAAGGAGAGCGCGAGGCAGAGACCAGATGGGGTGACATCTGCATGCCAAGGCACAGAGCACTGCCACGGGAGGGTCCTGAGAACATTCCTGCACAGCCGCGGGAGGGCCCGCCCTGGGCCTGGAGCTTCCAGCCCTGCCACGCTGCTGG